GGCGATCTGCGCTGAGCACCTCCGGCAGCTTCTCGCTGGAAGGCAGAAAGCGCAGAGTCAGAGACTCGGTCCTGACGGAAGAGTCCCCGCCCCAGACCGCCGGGGGGCCAGAGCGAACAGCGTCCCTCCCGCGGCCCGGCGGCGGAGACCCCTGCTAATCCACCCCTGTCAAACCACCCCTGCCTACAGCCCGCAGCACGGACCTCTGCTAAACCACCCCTGCCAAACCACCCCCGCCCACTGCCCGCCTGAATATCTAAAATGAAGCAACACTGTATTTGGGGGTATACCGGAAGCAGTTTAACCCCGAGCGAAGAGCACAAGAGCAGGAATTGCCCAGCAAGCTGCTCCTCGCCCATCATCTCTGGATTTGTCCTTTCAGCCCTATCCCACTGGTCAGTGGATAATCTTCCACCAGGCAGGACGTCATTTGTGCCTGTTGTCCTGGTCTGGAAATGATGAACCCACCGGGGCAGCACCAGACCTGTGATGGGTTGCTGGGCAAGGCAAGGAGTGGACTGCTCCCCAGTGACTGGAGACCCCAGTCCTTTCTGCAGTTTTAGTTCTTCACAGAGCTCAGGAACACCCTTTTAGCAGCACAGCCCACAGAGGTCTTAGCAGGTGACACAGAGCTGCAGGGATGAAGGGATCAAGGGAATCTCACTGGGGGTGTTCACAATGCTCTTACAGGCCTTAGTGGGTCCAGAGCCACGACTTCTGTGTCATTTAATGACAAACCCCACCTAATCCTTAGTGCGAGTGTACCCTAGCCCACTCACCAGCTGGGGTGACCCTAACCTGTTGAAGGTGGCCTGGCTGGTGAAGCGTGCTCCACACACCGCACAGTTTGACAGCTGGTCCTCTGAGTGGATCAGGAGATGTCGCCCAAGGGATCCTGGTGAGCTGAGGGCTCTGCCGCACACGGGGCACATGTAGCTCTTGGCACTCACCACAGCTGCCGTGTGCTGCAAAAGAACCCACTATGTTGTTAGCTACAAATTGCCCAGCTCCCTGCCCAGTTGGAGGCAAGCTCAACAGATACAACAAACCATTCAGTTGAACCTCCTGGAACAGGAATGCTTTACCATGAAACCTCTGTCTGACAATTCCTAAACCAAGCTCAATACATTTGGGGTGCCACAGGCCAAAGAGCAAGGAGGAAACCTTTCTACAGCTCCAATCCAGTGCAAGAAAAATAATTAAGGCCAAAACACTTGGATTGTAAGACCTGACCCTTGTTTTCAGAAACGCATCCGAGGAGCTGCTGTGCTGGACAAAGCACGGCTGGACTAACAGTAGGCAGAATGCTGGTGAGAAAGCACTTAGATGGAGACAGTCAGCTGGTACATGTAAGTGGACAATTCAGTTCTGCTTCCTTCCTTCTTTTACAGACTTTGATATGTATTGATGAGAGCACTGGAAACAAAAGCTGTGAGATTCCAGCACAGATTTCCTGCAATACTGGAATAATTTCAGAAGAACAGCTGTTTTCATGGGTACAAACTGTGAAGGGTACAAAATAAAGAATGAGTGATTAAGAGGAAGGTTTCTTGTCTCACTGAATGATGTAAAAATTGCTTTCATGCTTAATCTGAAAGAAACACCTGGTCTCAGCCTGCAACTGCTTGCAGAGACTGCCTTGGGACAGTTGTGTCTTCCAGAGCTGCAGACTGGGGCCTTGCTGATTCTTTCCCCAGGATACCACCTGGACACAGTTTACTGCTGTGAACTTTAGTCACATCCTAGCTAGAAGCTCAGTTCTGTGACTGCAAAGACCAGAACAAAGCCACCCTGTGCTTTGCATTGTTTCTGGATTTGGGTCTTCAGGCCAGAGATACCTCACAGTTTGGAACCATCCCTGGTTGAACCATCCCTTACCTACCTGGTATACGTGAGCAATGAGCTGCTCTCGGCTCCCACACTCCAGCTGGCAGAGGGGACACTGTGACAGTCCCAGCACAGGGTCAGCATTCAAGCACTCAGGCACCTGAGGGGAGGAAAAGCCACTTCAGTGCAAGACACAGAGATCCCCACACATGGCCACCCTCCCGTCCTCAGCATCCAGCCAACACTGCAGGCAGGCCTCTACCAGAGCACGGGCGGTGTGCCCAGTCCTGCTGGGGATGGCTCATGTTCTGGAGCCCCCTTTTTGTAACCTCTGAGCAAACCTCCATCTGCCTCAGGCAGAGCGGCAGAGGCCTCATGGCTCCGGCCGGCCAGGCCAGCCCTGCAGCAGAAGGGAAGGGGCAGTCAGTCAGAGGAAGGCACCAGAACTGAAGGAGGGGGACACGCTCTGCACCGTCATCTTGGCCAGCCAGGAGAATGGCAGTTGGTGGCTGCCGTCTCCTGTTCCTGGCAGCCCAAAAGCTCTTCATACCCTTTCCTCCTGCCAGGAGACATTGCTGGGAAAAGGTGGGAGAGGAAAAAGGAGAAGAAACCATGATGGGGAGAGGAGGTTTTAGGCAGTACCCTTCTCGCCTTGGGAGGCCAAGGTGAGTGCAGAGACAGTACACACTTGCCTCATTTTCTCTTACGGGGGTTGCGGCCACAGGATGTTCTGCATTCTCTAATTCTTTCTTCACTTTCACAGTTGAGCCATCCTCTTCAGATGTATGGGAAGAAATTTCATCCTGGGTGGTTTCTTCCTCCTCGCTGCTACCTAGAACAAGCAGAATTTAGTTATTCCAAGCGTCAGGATCCTGAGGGCACTCACAGGCCTTAGTTGTCCCATCCAGTATCACCTGGGGCCTCCACCCACCCCTTCCAACCAGGGGCTCCATTTAAACTCAGGCTGGGGCACTTCAGTTCCTGAAGTGCTCTGCAGAGTCTCTGGGCCTGGCCTGGCGATTTGTGACAGGGGTAAGGTAAATGCTGTCTGACAGGCAGACTGGAAGCTGTAATTCTGGCCTTGACAAGCGCTGGAGCGCCAGGTGGGCCCACTGCTGCTCCCACCCTGCTCTGGCAAGCTGGCACCGCATTCTGGTGTGCAGTCATCGCCCAGTCTGTGTTGCAGTGGCCTGGGCTTGCCTTCCCTCAGGGCTAGTCCTGCTCTTGCTGTTTGCTGATGAAGCCCTGCACAGGAGCCAGGGGCTAACACAGAGATGAGTAAAATGGTCCTCAGAGGACATCCACAAGCTGTGCAGCACCTAGCCTCACCCCTTGTCAAAGTCTCCCCAGTCCACTACCTTGCCATTATTAGAAGGGGCAGAACTCACTGCTGCTGGATTCAGGGTCTTGCAGGGGGTGAATGGCTGGCCTTTGGTCCCCAAGAGCTCCAGGAAAGTTGTTTTTCATCATGGCTTGTCGGGCTTGCTCCTCCAGCCCTGCAAAGACTTGCTCCCCTAGCAGCCACAAGGACAAAGAGTCAGACTGGTACCATTCCATTGCTTTCACCACCAAGACTTGCCAAAAACACAACAGGCGTGGGCTGCTCACCTGCACTGTGCAGAACCTCTGCAGTCACCTCTTGGAAGGCATGTAAGTAACCCCTCTGCCTGCCCTACAATGCCGTGTGAGCCCGGGCCCTGGCTGTACAACAGCCTTGCCAGTGGAAATGTCTGGCATCAAGTTGCTCCCTGCATACTCTTTTACACGCTGCTCCAGCAAAAAAAAAAACAGCCCCTGTGAGGTCCCATTTTTTGGCTTTCTCTGCTACCAAGCTGCCTGCCAATGGAGCTGCAGCACAGCTCTGGGTGGCGGGAAGCCACCTGGGGAGTGTGGCCGGATCCCAGATCAGGTATAGTGCTGGATGGTTCTGCTAAATAATCACATCCTATTCCCTGCTATCGCAGGCAACTCACACAAAAATAGTATCTGCTTGAGTGCCTGGCACCTCATCTGCTCTCCACAGTGATACCAAAACCAGGGGTTATCCTTGGCATGCTCTGTCACCACCATCTGTCCCAGAAGGACTGGGACAAGCTGCTCTTCAAGAAGGTGTTTGTGCTGGAGCAGGTGTATGACAAATAACTTGCTTCAATGCCTTGTCTTACCCAGGGGTGGCTCTGGCTAAAATATATCTCAGTGACACTTCCTATGCTCAAATCAGAAATCTAAGAAAATGAACCCAGAAAGCTGAGATGCTTGTTTAGGACACTGATCAATAGTACCTCCATTCAGCA